GGAGCAGGGAGCAGCCGGCTGCTGCTGCAGGGAGGAGCGGCTGCGGGGGCGGCGGAGCAGAGTCAGAGCAGTTCAGAGATGGGCAGGGAAATGAGATGCTTGACTTGAGGCAAGGTGAACGATTTCAGAACAGGAAGAGGGGGGAGGGATTTCTCTGCAGTCTGCTTCCACTTGAGCTGTCCTTAGTATAATCACTGCTGTGCTAGCTGGTCCTGCAGGCAGGGAGAGAGGAGCTGCGGGCTGAGCTCTGTGTTTAGGATGGAATGGTGCTCCTGTACTTTGAGCTTCTGTGGTAAGCAATCTTGCTCAAGCATAGTGAAGGAAAGGAAGAATGGATGGTGTAGTTCTCTTTTCTGGCTGGTTTTCCACCAACGGCACAAAGGAAAAAACGACAGAACACAAAATCCTCCTTTCTTGTATAATTAGTAACTGTTATTTTAATGGAAAAAATACATCAGTATTTATACAGTTTTGGGGGTTTGATATGCTGAGGGGCTTTTTCAGTTGCTTAATTTTCTCTTTTTTCCTTGACAGACATTCAAGCCATTGGTTGGAAAAAGTGTATACAATTCAATTACTGCAGTAGAATTCCTTGTGGACAAACAGCTGGATTTCATAACTGAAGATAGTGCCTTTCAGCCCTATCAGGTAAGAAATTTGACTAGTGTATGAATACTATCCATTTAATTTATTTCAAAGCCATGATTTTACTATTGTTTAAGTGCATTTTATGTTCAAGTTCTGTGTTACAGGAACAATTTCCTATTGGTTATTCACAGAGATTGTTCCTTGTTCTGTGAAAGGTTGTATTGGGTACTCTATTATTCTAGTTAATCTGATCATGTCAAGGTGTGTACTGTGCCACGAATACTACTGTAGCACCTTCAGATAAAATACCTGACCCCTTTAAAGGTTAACCAGTACCATTAATTGTAGAGCAGATAGAAGATAGTATCCTTCCTTCTGAAGCTTTCATTTTCAGGTCTTTGCATGATTACAGTGATATTCCCCTTCCTGATTTTTGGTTCTCTTGGGAAATGAATAGCAGAAAATGTTAATATCTTAAAAAAGAAACACTCTTCTTACCATAGCCTGCAAAAATTTCCAGTATCCTTGATTTTAATGCCTCTCCATTAATTAGAAACACATTAATATATTAATGTGTGTGTATTTAAAGAACAAGAGAATTAGTGATTCCCCCCCTTGCTGCTTCAGAAGAAGATCTAAAAATCTCTTCTATGACAAATAGAAAAAATACTTGATACTGCAATTTGTGCTGAACTGATTGCAATTACAATAGCCATAAACTCTTCCTTATGGCTTGGATGGTACACTGTGGTGATACAGAAATAGTACTTAGAGGCTTGGAATAACAGATGGCCCTGAATAAATGCTATGTAATTTTGTCCTGACACCCCTTCTTCCCTCCTGCTTCACCAAGATGTTTTTTTTTTCCCCGTGCCAAATACAGAGCTAGAAAAAGAGAGTGGCTGAGAGAGAATCTTAGGGAAAGGGAGAGGGAGGTTCAGTTCATGGAAGGGCTGGTGCTTTTGTGTGTCTGTGGTAGGGAAGCCAAACGAGTTGAGCATTTCTCACCAGGGTGAGGTTACATGTTGTGACTCGAGCTGCTGGAACAGTTTGGCTGTGCCGCAGACAGCAGCTCCCACTCTCAGCCCCTGCCTTCAGTCCTCTGAAGCAGCACGGCCTCGATTTTGGAGCAGGGAGGGGGCACGGCGCGGGGGAGAAGCTGGGATGTTGATGGCTGAGCTGGATTAGCCGGGGTGCCGGCAGTGCTGCGGCTCCGTGCACGGAGGGGGCCAGGATGACGCAACACGGAGTGGGATATCCTCCTTTGGCAGCAGCGACCTCTTCCATCAGCTGAGCCGTGCAGTGTCACTCCACCCTCCCAGGCCAGCCGCAACCTTCCCGATTCGTTTTACAAAGCAAATACTGCTGCTGCTGCTGCCTGTCCTCTGCCTGAAATCTGTCAGGATCATGTGTCTGGTAATGCTCGTTCCAGTAACAGTAATCAATCTTCTTTTGGCACTGGATCATTTCTGATCTGAGCAAAGCAAACTCAGCATGGGAGGACTGCCTTTTGTTAAACAATGCCATTGCCAGGCAGTGACATAGAGATGTTCTATGTATTTTAGGCCCTCTAAAGAATATTAACTGATAAAGCATTAGACTTGGAAGCACCTTCATTTGGGAAGGTGCATTCAGGTTGAAAGTGTAATTTTTTAAAATATGTCATACTGTCTTGATCAGTAATATGAAATTAGAGTGTTGACGACTTCACTTCTCCAAGACGTATTCACCAAAAATTGCTACAAAGCAGTAGCTTGTCAAAAATAGTTCCAGAGATAAGCTTGTTCTCCTTAGCTGTTGGCCTCTATTTTTGATGCATAGAGGGCAATTCTGTGTTAGATCAGGCTGTTTGCTCCTCTCATGGAGCAGTTAGTTACCTATTGAAACCTGAGATGAGGGCTGTTGATCTGTATCCATCATGAGTAGTTTGGTAACAATATACTTAAATTGTTTATTTTAATATTACAAGAAGTTTCCTGACAGAGATTGCTCTTAGTACTAAGGCACCCAGAATTTGCATTTTAACTGGATATTGCTTGGATATTGAGTGCAGTAGTATAAAACATCATTGTGCTCACTGATGAATAGTGCAAAGATGTCTTTATTTGAATGGTTAAAAAAAGCTTGAGAAATGTTTTTCATAGGAATTTCTCTTTGCTGGGCTGGCAATATCTCAGTGCCAAATTTCACAAGTTAATTGTACAGATAAGAGCTTTACTGAATGATAATGTCTTCAAGAGAATAGAAACTATATGTACTAACAGTATGTTAGACAGAAATATTAGCATTATTACTGAGACTTTTTTCTGCTCAAAGGTAGCTGAAGTGGGAGGATTGTTTCTATTATTCCTTTTGCACGCTGTTTTCTGTTAATGGTAGAAATCACATTCCTAGCCATTGGTCACTTAATGTAAGGTAGTTTGTGCTTGTATGTTTTTTCTGAAAGACCTCCCTTTTCTTTGCCATAATACCAGATCCTAGATAAATCTTTGGTAAACTTCCTGTTAGTATCTCCTTTTCAAAAAAATTGTGGTTTTGCTCCCTTGATTAGTCTGGAATAGCATTGATCTGCTTGTGAGCAGAAGACAGAACTGAGGCATCATTCTTTGCAGGGATGAGTTAACTTTGAGTCTGCTGAAACGTGTTGAGTTTTTTGTTCAAGCTCTCATGCTGCACATTTTCAATATGAAGTCCTTAGAGACCATGTTGACCTAAACACTTTTTTATTGCATTTTGCTGTTAGTGCCGAAAATTCCAGTATCTTCCTGCCAAAACAAACAAAGTTTGAATTTGTGTGGGAAGACTCCATTTCACTTCAGATACAATTCTTAACTACTGACTAATTTTTCCCATCATTACACAGACTCATAATGCTGGTAATGGGCAGCAGACGAGTATTTGGTATGAATTCTGCTCACATCAGTTCTGACCAGGAAACAGTGGTGTTTCACAGAACTCTTGGGCCAAAAGGCTTCATGAATAAGGCACTGCTGTCCAGTGTAAAGGTGACAACTGCTCAAAGCAGAGAAAACAGCACACTTGGCATCCTTTCAGACTTGGCAGGAAAAACAAAGTTTGAGTAGGCAAAGAACTAAATTACTGTCGTTACCAGAAGTGGTTCTTCCAGAACAAGATTAAAGAGACTTTGGCGGGACTTCTGGGGAATCGTGACCCATGCATTCCCATGCCATGTCTGCTCTTTGCATAAATAAACATGTTTCAATTGTTAGGAGATTCAGTGACCTTGCTGAGGGCTAGATGAATATCGTTATTAAAAGCAGGGTATGCTGCTGCATTATGTGAGCCCACTTCCATGTCTTCACAAGGTTTGCTATACCAACTCTAACACTTGCCGGTGAATTTGTTCTTTACTGCTAAATGTGCGTGTGGTTCTTTTGCCTTTTGTGTACTGCTTAGAATCCTGCCCTTCTCTTGAGAAGTTGCTTGGATTCTGTATGTGTGGTGCCTTAAACACCAACCTACAACTTGTTTCCTGTGGCTTTTATCTCTGTTGCTTCATGGAGGATGTAAACTGCATTATTCTCTATGTGAAACGTGTGTGACTGAGTGACTCATTCATTAATATGGGATGGTCAGACCATTTAGTCATGTAGCTCTTTTTGTGGTGGTGACAAGGGGATCTGGAGGATAAAGCAGATGTGAAGGTTTGCTGTGGTACTTGCTTAGCAATGGAATGAAAATTCTGTGCTTTGTAGGAAGTAGGCATAAAGTTTACAGTATTTTGATATTTTTTATATTAAATTAGTATCTGTAGGAAGTTTGGTCTTGAAATGGACATGTTGATTAGGTCCTTAAAGTGAATTCCACTTTGCGTTCATAATATCATGTATGTTCTGTGTTTAAAAATTCACTAGTGTAGTGAGTTTAATAATGGCTCTTGGTATAGTATGAAAATGAACATTTCTTCCAAAAAGCTGTTTTAAGGAAAAATTCCTGTTAAGTGTACACATACAAGTGTGACCTCAATCAGATACTTTGAACTGAAGAGGGTTTCTGCAATAAGTTATTTGTACTGTTCTGTGCCATCTCTGTGCATCTGTTTTGTGGTACACATATTAAGTTAGGCAGCAGCAAAGCTAATCATGCCTTAATTTGTTTAAGCACTGTCGTTTACTTGGAGGACTATAGATGGGGATGTGAAGCATTAAAGCCCAGCATATGGTATGTGTGACCTCATCAGAGTGGTGTTTTTGTCTGGCTGGTGTTTGGCAGTGCCCGTCACGGACACTGTGGGGCTGAAGTGTGTGATTCTGCTGTTGCTGGCTGGAGCAGCTGGAGTCAACTGCATTATACTTTGGACAAGCAAATGAAGAATAACAAAAAGTGTTTTATATTGTGGTTTTTTCAGAGTAAAATAGGCTTGTGGAAAGATCTGGAAAGACTCTGCTTTGCCTGAAGCAGTGAGTGCATTTCAGCTGTGTCTGGGTCAGGCAGAGCAAGGGTGCATGATTGATTATATACTTCCAAATATGTACATACTGTGTGTGATAATGTATTTCCAAAGGATTTCTGAGCACACAGCACTGGAGCAAATGTGCACAGTGGAGGCAGGACAGAATTCAAATGAAGTTCCTTCACAATCATTAAATGTCCTGCAAAGGGTATTTTACCACTCAGGGAGGAAAGTGGAAGGGTGCACAGTCTTTCAAAAGTCGTCTCGTTTATTTGGTTTAAAGAAAAAAAATCTTGCAAAGAATGAATATTTATAGTGAAATCACTCTTCAGGCCTCACACTCTCCTTCAGAACTTTTTTTTTTATTCTGGAAGACAAGCCTGGTTGCTTTAGTGTTTCAAAATGGTACAGTCTGCCTGTCTGCCTCAGTGCTGAAGGTTGCAGATGTAAAGATAGGGCAATGAGAAATCCCCCGTGGGAGGTGTTGCATGAACAGTGATAGGCACCTGTACTTTGCTCTTTTTCTAAATGTGTGTGGCACATCTGAATGCTGCCAGGTCAAATGTCTAACACGCCTTAGAGATTGTTGAAATAATAAACTTTCTCACTAATCATGAAGCAGGTACATCAGATACAGGAGCTAATA